CCCTCTCCTTATTAAACCACCTGTTCACACAACCCTACATTGGCGAAGCTACCTTCCAAGGTTTGTGGACCTGAAACTGCACCTTTTCAGGTGGCCTCCCACTTTCGCTACCGGCTCAGCCCCAAATCGAAACGATCTTATCACGTAAATCGGCAAGATCAGTGTTCTAATTCAGGTGCACTGGCGGTTTAAAGGGGACACCCTAACCTGCTTGCTCACAGATGCAGGAGTACCATTCAGCCTCATGATCTGCTTGCTAGCAGTTCATGGTACGCAAATCAACAACCCTTGTTTGCGTGCAAACCTCATGCACCCCCCCCTTGAAACATTTACAGTGATACATAATCAACAACTGTTTGGAATCAACGACCATGAGTTTGACTGTCATTTACAGTGATACATAATCGACAACTGTTTGGAAGTAACGACCACAAGTTTGACTGTGATGACACAGTTTTCTCATGCAGAATAATCAATTGTTTCGAGAAGCAGATGCAATTCGCACAGCCTTTGCTGCAAAAAAGCACCCTTCGAATGATGACAGGCAAGATGTAGATCCAATTCCATTCTGGATTCGGCACAGCCAACGAAAGCAAAGCACATTGCTTTGCGTGGACGAGGGAGGAGAGCCTTTAGGGCAACGCTGCTGAAACCACTTCTACTTCCAAGCCTCTCTCTTCCGGAGCTCGAACCCCGCACACCCTCGTTTTGGCTGGCCCCACCAACCATTTGCTCCAATAGCCGAACGATACCGAAATTCGGCGTTTAAGTGAGAATCTGATGTGGAGCAGATCGGCTGCGCTTCTGAAAGTTTGGCGGGAAGAAACTTGCAGGTTGAATGTGTTTCACATGGGCGCCCATGTTCAGATAAAAACAAAGGCCTAAGGCTGACTGTGGTGGATCTGATGGCACCCTTCCTTCTCGACTCAGTCAGTACCAGTAGTATTAGTACCAGTACTGGAAGACAAACAGTTGGGTTACAAGCATCAGCCATTGCACAGCAGTAAGATCACACAGAGGTGTCGGCCTCATACCATCCCAGTCTATTACACGCCCTTCCAGCCTCTTTATCCAAATAACCGACTGAGATGCTGCCAGCCATAACCATATACACAACATCACAAAACCTTTGCCCTGCTTCAGTACAAATAACACATATTCTCACTGTGCTCATCGTTCAGACTGGTACTGGCAAACCGTTGGTGACACCAGAGACACTGACGGCGCACTCGTGTTTTCTGAGTCACTCGTGGTTTCCTGAGTCAGCAAAACTTATGGACCGAGGAATTGACGGCAAACACGGGGATGGCCACAGGGAGCGGAGAGGAGGAGGGGGAGGGGGAGGGGGACCTAGGAGTTGAAAACAAACGAAGGGATGGAGACAGGGGTGAAGAGGAGGGGGAAGGGAGAAGGGGGAAGGGGGACGGGGACGGGGACTATCTGCAGGTAATTATCGCCGTATCTGGACTGATATTTGGTATCTGCAGGTAATTATCGCCGTATCTGGACTGAAAGTTGCACCAAATATCGTTACAATGACCCCGCGTTCTATTTGGGTGACCCGCCGACACGAACATAAGGGCACGTGGTAACCAATCCACTTCCGTCAACAGTAACAAACTCGCACGTAGAGAGTTCGCACAGGAGAAAGCATACAGACCGTCTGCAGGCAGCAGATCCAAGATGTGGGGACACCTAAGGATCCCAAGTTCGCATTGGTTGGAATTCGGAATCGTCCGAAAGTGCAAACACTGGGGCCACGGAGGGGGGACCGTAGTAGTGATTGCTGCCAGACATCACAAAGGGACCTATGGAGAACACAGATTTGATTGATCATTCACACGGCGACCATCCAGGTCGCAGTTGCCAAGCCTTTGCCGGCTTCCTTACAGTCAGTATTCTTTCACATGTGTCAACCTAATGTCACATTCATATTTCACTGTGTCCCATGCAAGAGTACACACTCAGTCACATTGCTTTTCGTTCTCCGTCTGATGATTACAACATTGCGATGAAGACACAAAAGAACAGCGCCCGCTTGTATCGTGCGAAATGATGATCCCCTGCGAAGTGATGATGCTACCGTTGCTGCGACAAACCAAACGTGTATATAGAGAATGACTCTGCGGCTCCTGTTCCATTTTTCTGTAAATCTGCAGAAGGGCCAACTCTCGATCACGGCGAAAGACATTTTGTTTTACGTCATCACAAGATATGAATGACATTTAGAGAAGTCGACTCTAAGCAAACACCATTTTCCCCTCTGTCATCTTTCCGCTCCAGACATGATCAGTTACATTAGAGGATGTTACGTTGCCTTACGTTAGGTACCGCTAAGTCATGAAACCGCAAGTCGCATCTGAACTAGTCACAACGCCAACCCCCATCAGGGCACAACCCTGTACAATCAGGTCGCATTGACTTCTGCTCATCCAGTTTGACTCAAGCAAAATTTGACTCGAGCAAAACGGGAACGCTACCCATCCCAGCAAGTCAAGGTGGACTGAAACTCGGTTCTCTGTTTTTTCGCCCCGCCCTAATCAGCGGTGATCAGAGAGTAGCATCCCCTTCGTTGTGAGAGGTAGAGCTACGCTTGCAGGGGTTCCCCTGTATAGGCTTAGGAGTAGTGGTAGGTAGGTAGGTAGTGAGGAGGTGAAATCGAGTGAAGAACATAGATTAGCTTTTAAAATCGAAACTTGTACTTTCCAGAAACGTGGGGAAGATCGTGAAAAGACCTCTGGAAAAATAGAAACACACGTGCTTTAAAAAAAAAAAAAAAAAAAAAAAGCAGAAAAGTAAAAAGAAAGAAACATACACGTGCTCTAAAACTCATTATCATGAATTTCAGGCGGTGGAAAAGTGTCTCACTCATACTTGTGAGAGGTAGCTATGCTTGCAGGGGTCCCCTGTATAGGTTTAGGACTGGCGGTAGGTAGGTAGTGAAAGGTGAAATTGAGAGAAGAATATAGATTTTAGTTTTGTATTAAAAAAACAGAACAAAGAAAAAGAGAGGAGACTCGCGTAAGCACGACACACAACGCGCATGCAGTTCTCTGCACCTGGTCGTCGATCAGCAGGCTACCGTCCTCACCAGAATAGAACGCCCAGTCATGATCGCTGAACATAGTACAGCTATATAATGACCGGGCGTTCTGTTTGGGTGAAAAGAGGGTAGTGGACTCCATGGAAAAAGAGGAAGAAGAGACAAGATCACCTCCGTAGGTGATCACTTCTTGCCACTCTCAGAGGCATACTCACACCCACGCTTTCCTGGGTGCATCTGACGGGAAGTTGGGCTAGATTCCACTTGAGAAAGGTCTCCGTATGAGTGTGCGCTGAACCTTTTTGTAGAGGCCTAGGCAATGAAAGCCGGAGGAAAGGCAACCTTAATTGCCCGTCCACAGTTTGTCAAAAACTCTAGGAGAAGGGCATAGACAGAAGCGAAAAGGGATGAGAAGCACGGAAATTAAATGGAAAAAGGGGAGGAAAAGGAGAGGAAAGGGAGAGGAAAAGGGGGAGGAAAGCCGGGGAGAAAGGGGGCGGGGAAGCGCCAGAGAGGGGGGGCAGGGAGGAAGAGAGCGGGGGAAACCAAAGAAAAGGGGAAACTGAAGAAGCTAAAGCGAAGCAAAGGAAAAACAGTAAGTGGCGAAAAAAGCTCATGAAATATGTCTTTGTTAAACCCAAGGACTCATGAAATAGAACAAAGAAGGAGAGACGACGATAACTGACAATGGGAAGACGAAAAAAAGGCGGGAAGGACGCGAAAGGTGAGAAAAGGAAAGTCGATGAGGCAGGCAGAAAAGTGGCGGGAGAGAAGAAAGGAATAAAAAGACAGTAAGGGGAGGAAGGTGAGGTCGGAAAGAGCCGGAAAAACAGAAGTAAAAGGAGAGAGAGAAAGCAAATGCGAGAGGGGGATTGCACGGTGAGAGGGTACACAGGGAATGGGACAAAAGAGACGTAGAAGGACAGAAAAGAAGGACAGTGAGAGAGAGAGAGAGAGAGAGAGAGAGAGAGAGAGCAAAAGTGAAGTTGGAAAGCACGGTGGGGCAAATGGCTGTTTCCCCCTAATGAAACGCACTGTCATTGTGGTAGCATTATTGCATATACGCAGGGGTAATGAGGGTAAGTACTATTTAGGGGAAGAGGTACGGTCTGCAGATCGGCTTTTATTTTACACGAGGTTGAGCTAGGCGATGACATCTTCCTTGTTTCTCGACTTACCTGCAACTGCAATTTGGCGGTAGCTGTTAACGATTCAATCCTAATACTTACAGTATACAGGCCATCACAGCAGGCAGCTGTACGAGAGGCTCGGACACATAAAACGTAGCACAACCGGATCTTCCTGCCTTTCTTTTTACTTCATGCAACGGATGTTTTTAAAAAGCACACAGCTGGTTGGCTCGCGCAGTGGCTATAACAGACTGTCACCAGTTGACGGACAAAAGGCCATGCTGATTGGCTGCGAAAGAAGGCATCAAGCACTTCTTAAGCCCTTCCCCCTATTGGATAAAGACAGCATCACTGCTGGCAGACTCTCTCTCTCTCTCTCTCTCTCTCTCTCTCTCTCTCTCTCTCTCTCTCCCCCTTATCGCCTCAGAAACACACAGTCATACACACACACACACACACGC